TTGAATTCCTGTTTTAATTCCTCAGTGGCAATAGGGGACACAATATAGAGGTTATACCTTCAAATGGTAGGTATAGTAGGTGCCAAAGAGGTAAGTAAGAGCAAGTGACAATTGGTACAGAAATAAAAAGCAAATGGAAGGTTGGTACGAGGAGGTCCTTCCTAACATCTGAAGCTATCCAGTAAAAGGACAGCATGGCCTGGAAAGGCAAGGAGCTCTGCCTCATTGAATGACACACAGTAAGGGGTCTGGATGACATGTCCACTGTGGCAAGGATTCTTTTTCAGGTTAAACCAGGTGGTCTCTAAATTCCCTCCCACTCTGAATTTCAATGATCTGTGCTTCTGTATAGGAATCTAAAGTGATAAAGATCAATCTGACCTTAAATTCTGAAAAAGAGTTGTCATTTTTCATAGGCAAGGCCAATATCTTGTCTGTTCTAAACTCCTACTCTTCAGGTCTTTCTTCAATTTAAATGAAAGTACTGGAAATCCTCTGGGGGTGATGGGGTGGGAAGAGTCATATAAAGAAACCCAAGAGGGTAGGCTGATGTAGTCTTCAACAGTAAAACAGTCATTTTAAGATTCAGCTAGCTTTATTAATAACATACCATCATTTATATGATGAACTAATAATATCCAGTGGAGATCTATTTTAAATATCACAAATGGGGTGGGGGGAAACAAAAGGGAAAAGTTCCCTTTAAAGACTGTGTGATGGGAAACATTTGGACCAACTTATATCCAACCTGTGTTCTTAATGCAGTATCAGCACACACTTTTTTTTTTTTTGGAATGAGACAACCCAACTGCCATAATCTTTTTTTTTTCTCAATACTTTTTGCATCCAGGTATAATAATACAGTATGCAATTCTTTTCATGCTTCTAAATTTAATTGATTTAATCACTGAATTTAAATGCTTGGAAATTGTTCTGCTTGCCTGTGTTTGAATGCCAAATGCATCATCTCCAGCTCTAAAATGAATGTTGCAGTTCTATTTAGCTAATTTCGAACACTGCCTTCTAAATTACCCCAAGTAACCCATAAAGCATTGAGTAAAAATGGTAATAATGGATAACAAATGTCCATTTCTATCACATTTAGAATAAGTCCATCTTCTACCAGTCTAGAAAGTGTCATGTTCTTAGCTTTTAAATGCCATTGAGCACTACTCTGGGTGATAAAAAAGTTCAGTATTTTCAGTTTATAAAACTATAAAGACATTAATTAACACTCCTCCTTTCACAGTTCACAGAGGCCTTCTCCTAATCTCCACTGCTTAGTCTGGGAAATTGAAGCCAGCCATTGGTCTCCCTGCTTCAAGGCTCTCCTTGGCTCAAATCCATCACAGTGCTTTTTCTAAAGTGCCGTTCTGATCATGTCCCGCTCCTACTCAATAAACTCCAGTGGCTCCCTATTGACTTCAGGATCAAACGTAAGCTCCTTTGTTTGCCCCACTAAAGGCAGTTTTCACATTTGTCTTTGACTCCCAATTTCCTACCATAGCTCCTGGGCCATGGTAGGAGATTAATAAACAGTTGTTGGTTGGCAAAATTACTGTCCTCCAAAAAATGAGATCCCAGGCAAGAAGCTCAGCATCAGATTTTTGGGTCAGATCACAATATTTTAGATTTTTTTTTTTCATTTTGTCTTGTATTTTTTTTTTTAAACCAAAGAGAATATTTCCTTCAGGAGTGTCTGGGTCAAATCTACTTTCGGTATTCATGTGGGAGGAAATGTCGATCCAATCCCATCTGAAGAGAATATTTGAATTTGAGCAAGAAGACACTTATGAGACAAATTCTTTTTCCTTTGATTATTCTAATTGCCAAATGGAGAGATGGCCTTAGAGATAGGTACAGGATTGTTTCCCTGCACCCTCCCTGGGACTAAAGCTATGTCTGTGTCCAGCTCTGGGCTTTCTAATCCAATATGTGTTCATTAAACACCTTTATGTGCTAGGCCCTTGGGAATGCAAAGGAAAAAAAAAGAAAGAGGGACTGCCTGCCTTACATTCTATTGCTACTTACAACATGGAAACAAGTAAGTTTGGATAGGACAGTTTGAGGAAAGGGGAGATTACTATCAATGAAAGGGAGGAAAGGTTTCCTTTAATAGGCAACTCCTAAGGTGAACTTTGAATGAAGACATACTAGGAGTGAAGGTGAGAAGGAAGTGAATTCAAATCCTGACAGGTAGGAGTTTCAGGGGGGGCGGGATTGCAAAAACCCGGAGGTAGGAAATGGAATGCCAAGTTTCAAAATTGTCAGTTAGAGCTTTGACCGCATGAAGGGAAGTAACATGGGATCAGTCTGTGAAAATAGGGTGGAGACCATGTGAAGACTTTAAATTTCAAGGTAATGAGTCTGTATTTTATATCGGAGGCTACAGATAGTCAGTGAATATTGTTGAACCCAAAAGCAACACAAACAGGCCGAAGCCTTAGGAAAGAACGTTGGGCAGTTTTGTGGAGGATGGACGGGAAGGGAACAGAGACTGGTGCCAGAGAAATGGAGGAAGAGGCCAAGGCTACAATGGAGATAAGATGGATGAGGGACTGAACTAGGGGGTGGGTGGCCTGGGAGTACTAAGAAAATCTTAGGCCTGAAATGCAAAAGTCTGGCTGGGTGGGGGGAGGATTCATTTAGAGTGACAATTGTGATATAATTGATGGCCACTGAATACATTACTGTCATTAAAAATGCCTGGCTGCTAGGGCCAATGGGAATGGGGTGGGAGGGGAAGTGTCATTTCTGACGAGCCTATGTGCATATCTTTCAAAGGCAAGCAAGCATGTGACTTACAATTTAATATCAAATGTAAATCTGAGAGTTAATAAAGACCTAAAGCCCAGAGCCAGGGTTCACAAGGTTCTCTATGTCCTTGAGAAATGTGGGTTTGAATGAAAATATTAATTCCTGGTAACAAACCAGATAACAGTGACCCAGGTTAGGAGCATACTGGCCCTGCCCCACCTCCAGCGACCACATTCAGTACTCTGTACCACCTTTCCTGAACGAGGCAGGTAGCCTGAGATGTCGAAACTAGTGTGTCTCCTGTTCAGTTCTGACCTGATTCTGAACTTTTCTGAGGCTGCTTCTGCCTCTCTCCTCCCACTTGGAGACGGGAAAACAAACAAATAAACAAACAATCAAATACATTCCTCCTTGGCAGCCTCCATGTACAGCTGCTCCCTTGGCGTTAATGGCCTTAGAGCTGGGGGCTGGGGTTCTCTTCTCCAAATAGGCATCTCCAGTCCTATGTCAGGGTGAGCTCCAAAAAAGGGACAGGGAAGGGCCTGAGCAACTCAGGGTCAGGCAATGAGCATTGATGAGGCCCCTAAAACAGGGCAGGCATTGGGCTGAGGACTGGGGATGCCCCCCCCCCCACCAAAAGGCAGGAATCATTGCTGCTCTTGAGCAGATCCCAGTGAAGTAGAGGAGACACCATACAGACAACTGTACACACAGAAATACAATGCTGTGGGCAGTATCAGACCCACTCACCAGATTTTACTACAAGGGAGGGTTCATTTTGGGGGGGGCAGAGGAGGGGGTGGAAGCATATTTCTAGATATGATTGTGATTTAAAATTTCTATAAAAATCAAAATAAAGCAAAGCAAAGCCCTGCAACAAACCTGCGGGGTGGCAACTGTCCTCAGAAGGCCCCACTGCGGAGATTCCAAGCTCCGGGGACATCCAGGAGAGTGCTGCATGGGCTGCAGAGCCATTAACACATGCAGAGAGAAAAATGAACCCTTCTGAGGACTTCCCTTGGGGAGCTTGGTGGCACAGTGGATGGAGCCCTGGGCTTGGAATCAGGAAGACTCATCTTCATGAGTTCAAATCCTGCCTCAGACACTTACTAGCTGGGTGACCCTGGGTAAGTCATTTCACCCTGTTTGCCTCAGTTTCCTCATCTGTAAAATGATCTGGAGAAGGAATGGCAAACCACTCTAGAATCTTTGCCATTGACCCCAGTGGGGTCACAAAGTCAGGCATGACTGAAATGACTCCACAACAAGGTTTGTTCTTAGTACAGAAAGCCCAGAGCACTGTGGTTGAGCATCAAAGGCAACATTCCAACGGAAAACGACAACCCAACCTGTCTTTTTTATACGCTAAGTAATTTTACTTTTAAGAATGCCATTTCTGTTCATTTTTCGGTCAGCCTCAAGTCTGTGGCTATCTGTCCACTACAGAGAACTCTTCCTTTAATATTTTAAATGAACACAGTTGGGAGCTCTCCAGGCATCCTTCCCTTACTGGGACATGAAGGGGACCCTGGGTCCTTAATGTAATTCTATGCTCCCCAAGTTTCTCCTTGACCTTTGTTCCCTTGTGACCCTAGAGAGTCAGCAACAAGAAAGTTTACACAAGCCAGAACCTAACATATCTTTGTTACACTTCAAGATTCTAACATATGAGGTGGAGATTCCATATTTTTGCCCCAACTTAGGAGAAAGTCAGAAACAAAAAACAAAACAAAACAAACTTTTTTTTTCTCCTATAACTATCTCTGTCCTTTCTCACCTCACAGATTTATCAGTGTTACCCCTAGATTCTCGGGATGAGGCATCTAAGCTGATGCCAACAGAAAGAGTGGATGAATATTTTTCTTTATCTGAGATTCATTCAATTTCCAATGATTACTTTGCTCAAGGAATAGGAGACATCTTAAAAGCAGAGGCCAACATTTTATTATCCAAGAAATACACATGTAAAAGTGACCTCCTTGGGGGATGAGAAGCATTATCCCCTGTTGTTTGACCGCAGAAGAATAATGGGAAGAAAGAATAAATGAATGATTTGGTCTAATTTGCACCATGTTCTAAACTTCTATTGTGATATTCTATAATCACACATGCTAGTCAGGAAATATAATGATTCAAGTGAACATGAACATGTTATTTTTTACGAGCATCCACAACTCCTTAATTAGAAAAGCAGGCACATTAATACATTACATGGTGGTTCAGAAGAAGCTTGCAACCCTTACCTTGGCTTGCAAACTTCAGCTCCTTAACATCAGTGACGGTTGTTCTCTTCTCTGACCCCTTCTTTTCAGTTCGGCGATGACTGCGCCTTTTCTTGGTCTCTCCCCAAAGATTGGATCCTCCATGCATGCTGGGAATATTCAAAATAGCAATTCCTTCCAGCGAGATGTTTATTAGGTCTAGCTGCACGCCATCACACTGATTAGAGAAAGTGACAAAGGGAAAAGGGAGAAAAAGAAAAAACAAAACAGAAAAGTCTGAATTTTCCATCTGTACTCTTTGTTTATTTTCCTCTTTCTATCCTGTTTTCATTATTGTAATGAGACAATTTTCATCCATTATTTTGCATTTCAGAGTCAATCTTGCAAGACCAACTGATTATCCTAAATGTGAATTTAAAAGGGATCACTTGATTTTGAGATCAAATTTCTTTGAATCAAGTTACTAAAATCTGGCTATCTATTGACCTGTCTCCTCTCCCCAACCAATCACCCTTTCAGTCATGACTACTAACTCTACTTTTATAAGAAGTCTAATGTCTAGTTGATCTGGCCATTATAGCCTTCTTGCCTTTAGGAAGTATCACCTAGTTTTCATCAGTAGCATTTGCTAAACATCTATTATATCCAGAGCATTAAAAGAAAGGGTTCAAGGAAGATGATTTACACAAAGTTCTCAAGGAGATTACAATCTCATTAGAGAGAGATCGACTTATTCGCTCATTCATCCCTTCAACAGACTTTTTCTGAGCATGTAGTAAATAACAAGGCACGGGGCCAAACGCAATGTGAGATACTAGAAGAAGGCTAAAGGTAAGGCCTCTAAGAGCTTACAGTGTAGTCAGAGAAATAAAACAGAGACAAATAATGACTAGGGTGTGCGCACTCAGAATCTTTAGAGGTACCAATACAAGGTGCCATGATGATTGAAACCCTTTTCACTGGCAGTATCAGAAGGACTGTGTGGAGGTGTTTGTGGTGGAGTAGATTGGGAGTTATTCCCCTGGAGATAAGAGTAAGGAGGAAAAAGAGGAAGATGGGATATCTTAGGCAGAGGGAAGAACATGAAGGAGAAATCACAGTCATGAATACGAGTTAAGAACAGTTTTAAAACAGCATATGTCTAAAGTAAATTAATTCAGGCAGCTTGGAATTAATTGAGCAGAGCAAGAAAGACCTCTTAAATACATTCTTATCAGAGTGCTGAAGAAGGTAAAGGACAGGACTGGCAAAGAGAAGGGGCAAGGCCAGCTTAGGTTCCTGGTTTTCTTTTGTATGTCCTGTACCTTTCTGGTGGGTGGGTGAAGCCTATGGGTGCCTTCTCAGAAGGGCATTAGTATGTGCAGAAAATCAAATGCCTACCATGACAAGGGAAACGAATTATATTAAAGTAATTTTATATTCATTCTATTAGTTTTTCTGTCTGTCTGTCTGTCCACATATCACCTATCTCTATCTATCTATCTATCCATCTATTTAGCTATCCTTCTAACATGTTCACAGATCCCAAGTCTGTGGGTCTACAGGCAAAGTAGTCGGAATTAAAGACATAAAGTTGAAAAGGATATTAGAAATCATTTGGTTCAATTCCAAGATTTTACAGGAAAGAAACTGAGGCCAGGGTTGGGAAATGACTTGCTTAAGTGCAATGGAGCCCTAGTTCACACCCAGCTTTTCTCCCCTGCTGATTAGCCCCCAGCCTAGTTCACACCCAGCTTTTTCCCCCTGCTGATTAGCCCCCAGTACCTTGCAGGGAACCTTATCTAACCTTGTAATGGAGCTGGGCAAAGCCAATGGCTTGGTTGTTTTCATCAAGGGCTTGTTTTGTACTTGTGTGGTACCTGGAGTGGAGCAGTTCAAGAAGTTCTGACCCCCCAAAAAAAATTATTCTCCATTTATTCCATGAGTATCAGTGGGAAACCTTAGTTTCGGTAGATAATGTTTTGCTTGGTAAATAACTTTTTGGGAATTCCTCTTTGCTAAGAACTGAAAATGTCCCATCTCATTGGTGTGACGCTACTGGCTTGTCTCAATCTCTAAAAAAAATCAAAAAACAAAACAAAAAAAACCTGGTCAAATCCGAAGAAAGAAAAGAGCTGCCCTTAATGTTCAAACATTGCCATTCCTTCCTCTCTGCTATACAAAAGGAACGCAGCAATCCCATCATGCTCCTAAACCCAAAACTGGAGGCTAGAACAACACATTGCGGACCCCCTTCTCAGTGGTGGACACAGACAAGTGAGAAAGTGCCAAATTTTCATTCCATTTGTTTCAACAGGGGTGAAAGCAAGGTCTTTGAGGTCTTTTTCAGAGGCCAAGTGATTTTTCCCCCTTTTTATGTATTAAATGAAGATGATTTATTTTACTAAAAAAATTCTCCTCATGTGTATCCTCACTTACTGCTATACATCTAGATAAACAGATATTAATTTCATAATTAAAAGTAATCTTGTGTAAATACCCTGCAGGCCTCAAAGAATCAAACACATACTGTGTGTCAGGCCTCCCACTGTCTTCAAGTGGAATGTACTGGCTGGATAATTAGATAGTACACATTTTTTAACCTTATTTGCATGCATATTATATCTTTTGCACACTGACAAGCAGCAGTAACAACAAAAGTCAGATTACCACAGGGAATTCCCACAAAGAAGTCTTCATTCCTTATAATTTGCAGCCTAAATTAAAATAATTTGATCTTTGACAAGGATGAAATGTCAAGCAGAAGGGGGTCCTCGACAAGCTCCGGCCTGTGGCTTCTGAAATCTGCCTAATTTATGTCAGTCACTTCTTAATACATATTTAAGTGTTACACAAAAAAGATGATAAATATGCAATCTGACACCTTTGGTATTTCCCTGCTGTTAATTTAGAAAGGTCTGGCATCCCCCAAACCAGTTCGAATTATTTAAATAACAGAGGAATTGTGAAATAAGATGGTTCAGGGGCCTGGCTTCCATTTGCACTCAATATTGAGCACAGCAGGCAATATACTAAGACAATTATTTGACTAGGCCTACGAACCCTGCTGGGATGAGTTACTTTCAGAATTAGTAAAAGAGGGCTTCTTTTGTTCATCCAGAGAGGAAGACTCTACAAAGAGAAGCCTTTTTCCCCCTCCTTCTTTGACAGTCTTAACAGATTGAGATGTGATAGTTGGAAAACATGACTTTACACTGTTACTATCTGTTTTCTCCTTTTTGTCTCTTGCTTCCTTCAGCAGCTTTGAATGGACTGCAAGACTCCAAATGAGTCAACAATATGACGTAGTAGGCAACAAAGCAGATGCCATCTTAGTTGGCATTAAGTGATGGGAGGTGCTCCCTGCCCTGTCCAGATGTGCAGACAACATCTGAAGTATTGAGCTCCATTCTAGATACCATAGTTTATGAATATTATTCTCTACCAGAAAGAGTCCAGAGCAAGCATCATGGGGAAGGGTATTTAGTTCAATTTGAAAACTGATGGAAGGAAATGGGGAGTTCACCCTGGAGAACAGAAGGCTTAAGTGGAACATGAGAGCTAGCTTCAAGTATTAAAGAATGACCTTCAAAGCTTCCCATAGACTTTTGCTCAGACTCATAGGGTAGAGTCATGAACAAAGGTGGGACATCCCAGAGGGTTTTGTGCCTTTCAGCATGTCTATGTGCAGGGAGTTTTGGACCACTGCTCACATTTGGCTCAATGCAAGGAAAACAAAACCCTACCCCCTTCCTACCCTTTAGGGCCAAGCAAGAGTGGAATAGGATTCCTCAGAAAATGGAAGGTTCCATCTTGCTAAAAGTTTTCAGACAAAGGGTGGACGTTGTAGAGGGGTCTCCCATTCAGGCTGGAGTTAAACTCATTGATTGCTGGGAACATTCCCAACTCTGATTTTCTCTGATTCTACTTCACCTCAATCACAGACCTGGCATTCGATCTAGCACTGGAAGGGATATCTTGGGGGTCATCCAATCCAATCCCTTATTAAAAGATGATGCAACTCTGGCCTAGAGGGGTAACAATAAGCAGTCTTCTTAGATCTGAATGAGCAATTCTCAGGGAAGCAAGGAACTTCCCTGACAATTTCAAAGAACACTAGTCCTCCAAGAAGAAGACGATGCTGTCCAGGACATAAATCTTTGTGAAGCATTGGTTTCCATTAGTTGGTGCCCCCAGTTTGCCTTCTTCTCTTTGAGTTAATGTTATGCTTATTAACCTGGAACATTCCCATCCCATTTTTTGATGGAGGCCAAGCATTGCCTCCACCACTTGACTGAAGACACTCCACACTAAGGCATAGGCCATGAAAGATAAATGCTTTCATTTTATGCAGGATAAAATTTTTATCCTCTCTTCAGAATACACACACACACACACACACACACACACACACACACACACACACACACTTAAAGGTAAGTGAAGACACACAAAAAAATAAAAGCTGGGAAGCTGATGACCACAGCAAGTCAATAAATCCTAAATATTATGCAAAAATCCAGAAAAAAAGGGAGATTTACTCTATAACCAACCATGGCTGTGAATGACTGAATTAGTGGAACACCACAGGCTTAGCCTCAAACTATCAATCTTGTTTCCTCATTCTGCTGACAGAGTCAAATCCAGCAGGAAGAAGATGGGGGGATGTGTAAACAATGGGAGTCACATGTCCCGTGTTACTCAGCCATAAGACACCCAGGGGTCATAAATAGGCTTTTCCTACAAATTCCTTGTTCATTTCACTGGTCAAGGACAATCCAAGAGTTATCTAGATATGTTAGGCAGCGCTGAGCAGAGGCCACAGGCTTGGACTTATAGTCCAGGAGAAATGGGCTTAAATGATCTTATCTAGGTGAATGAGAGTGAATCACTACACCTTGATAAGACTCAGTTTCCTCATCTCTGAAATAGGATAATAAGAACTGCAGTGCCTGCATCATAGGTTTGTGGCAAGGCTCCAGTAAGACAACCTATGTGTGCCAAGTGCTTGGAAAGGAATATAGTAATGTCATTATTATGCAAATACAATATAGTATAATTACAATTATTGATATTCAGTCAATCAAGATGCATTTGTTACATGCTTTCTCTGTCCCAGATCCTATGCTAAGGGCTGGAAATACAAATAAAAGGCAAAACACCATCCTTTCCCTCAGGGAGCTTATATTCTAATACGGTAGAAAACTTGTCAATAAGTAACCATATGCATGATCTATA